TTATGAATCCTCTTTATTCTCTTTAAGCGCGTTAATACCAATTTGTTTTTCTTCTAAAAATAATGCTGAACTAACTAAACAAAGATTTATGAATCCTTGATACATAGCAGGATTTACTGATGGGTTGTTTTTTAATTAAAGTAGTTGAAAAAGAAAGTAATAAACTAGGTTGGCAAGTTAGAGCAGGTTTTCAAATTAAACTTCATTCAAAAGATATTTATATATTATATAAAATTCAATCTTTTTTTGGTAGGGCAGGTACTGTTTTTACATCGTTTAACAAAAAAGTAGTTTTGTACACTATCGAAGATATGAAAATTATAAAGATGTATTGATTCCTCATTTTGATCAATATCTTTTACAAAGCGCTAAAGTATAGATTATGAGTTATGGAAGCAGTGTATTAATTTAAAAACAGCTGAAAAACATTAACGCTATCCCGCTTAGAGCAAATTATAGCTATTAAAGGAACACTAAATTTAGGGTTATCTGATAGATTAAAAACTGCTTTCCCTCATGTTAAACCTTTAGTTAGACCTGATTATTTAGTTAGAAATGAAGTATTAAATCCTTATTGGATAACAGGTTTCACCGACGGAAAAACAACCAAGACCGAAAGAATATAAATAAAAACAATTGATTAAAAGATAGTTTAATATAATTCATGCCTTAATTGACATAAAATAATAAAAATCTAAAAATGTTAGCAAGCACAAAAATTAAAGGTACTGGTTTTGTTGTTAGATCTTTTAGCACTAAAAGATTAACTAATCTTTAAAAAGAATCTTTTTCTATACCCTTAGATTTACATGAAGTAATTATAGGAACTACTTTAGGTGATTTAAATATTCATAAAGGAAATATAAATGCTAGATTAAGATTTGAACAAGGTTTAATTCATGAAGCATATATGATTCATTTATATGATTTATTTAAAGATTATTGTAACTTTCTTTTTAAAATTAGTGCTCGAAAACCTGATTCTCGGACAAGTAAAATTTATAAACGAGTATCTTTTAATACTATACTTTACCTTGTTTTAATTATTATTATGAGTTATTTTATGTGGATGGGGTTAAAATAATCCCATTAAATATAGGTGAACTATTAACACCTAGAGGTTTAGCGTATTGGGCTATGGACGATGGAAGTAAATCTAGAAATAATTTTTTATTTAAATACTGATTCTTATTCTTTAAGTAAGGTAGAATTATTAATTAAAGTTTTAAAAGAAAATTTTGATTTAAATTGTTCTTATCACATAAAAGGGAAAGATAGTAATAGAATTAATATTAAAGTAGGTTCAATGGATAAATTTCGATCTCTTGTAACTCCATATTCCCATTCATCATTGATGTATAAACTTATAGTTTAAAAGGTATTAGGATTTTTCTTTTCGTTATTTTAAAACAACACCCCCCCCCCCTCCGTAATCCATTGGGTCTCTATATGTGGGCTGTTTTAATATTACAATTAGGCCAATAAAAATGGTCATACCAAGTATCTCAACGTTTTGAAGGTAAAGAGATGTTTTACGTTTACAATAAGCAAAAAAAAAAATACTGGAGATTACAGAATAAATGGAACTTATTTAATCCATTTACATAAAAGAGAAGAGCCTCTTTTAAGAAAAATCCAAGAATTTTTTGATATGGTTGGTTCTGTTAATTTTTGGGGTACTAAATCTTCAGTTGAATATAAAATCTCTCGACTTTCAAATTTAAATTCGAAGATTGTATCACATTTTGATAAATATCTATTATCTGCAATTAAACTTAATAATTATCTTATTTGGCATCAAATGATTGAAATACTTAATAAAAAAAGCTCATTTAACTGACGAAGGATTAGCTTTACTTAAAGATCTTAAATCGACATTAAATAAATAATGATTAACTTTATTATTTATATAATTAATTTATCATCGTTCTTTATTCAGACTTTCTCATAAAAGTACAGTAGTATTTTACTATAACTAATATAGACATCGGTTAAATCCGAAGGTTTAGTTTATATCAGGTACACAAAAAATTAACACCCCCCCCCCCCCCGAGACTCTCTCATGTTTCGTTAAAAGAATAAAGAGAATAAGGAAAATATAAAAAGTTAGTTGTAGCCCCTATAAAAGGTCTGCCTTATTAGTAGGTGTAATCTTAAAACTGTCTACTTATTTAGCCCTTCGTGTAATGATCCCTTTCTTACCTGATGCTATTCTTTTCTTTACTCCTTTAATATACACATTAGCCGTTATAAGTATAATTTATGTTTCTTTAACTTGTTTAAGACTTATAAATGTTAAAGCAATTATTGCCTATAGTTCAATCAGTCACATGGGGGGGGGTTCACATAAAAATTTTATCTTTAATATAATGCATAAAAAATTGAGAAGTGAGGGAGGGGGGGGGGTGTTCATTGTTATAATGAACACCAATAATAGAAAAGATGCACATGGTTTAAATGTACACCTAATATATTTTTCTATAAAGGAGTCTTTATTATAATTATGAACCCCAATAATAGAAGAATATAAATACTAATAACCAAACGATATCAACAAAATGCCAGTAAATAATAGCAGCTTCTAACCCAACGTGATGGAAATCAGTAAAATGATAATTTATAACTCTATATAATCCTACAGCTATAAATATTGTCCCAATAAGAACATGTAACCCATGGAATCCTGTAGTAAAATAAAATGTACTACCATAAACTGAATCTGCGATTGTAAAAGGAGCATTAATATACTCAAAACCTTGGAATCCTGTGAAAAGAATTGCTAAGATTATTGTGGCTATTAACCCATAAATAGTGTATTTACGGTTTCCTTGTATAAGCCCGTGATGAGCTAAAGTTACTGTGGCACCTGAAGATAATAATAAAACTGTGTTTAATAAAGGTACTTCCCACAAATAAAAGTAATATAAACTATAGAATAACAAAATTTAATTGAAGGTTATCTAAATTTAGTCCAGTTTGTACAACATAGAAGCATGAAAATGAGGTTTTACTAAAGTTCTAAAATTGTCCATAGATTTACTAGTAATGCATATTCTATATCCATTTTTATTAGATTGGATGGTGTTAATTATCCCAAATTTATTTAGTAAGACACTTGAAAGCATTTCTACTTCACTTAAAGTAAAACTGTGCGTATTGTAATGAAACCCAGATCCTGCTTTACCACCATCGACCATAGCCCAATAAGCTAAACTTACTGAGGTAATTAGATCTCCAATATATAATGGTACTAAAATAGTACCATTATTATAAAATAGATCATGCAATTGAGTAAAACAAGGTAATTGTCTAGTAGTGAATCTAATAGATTGGTGAGTCTCCCCAGTCCTTTTATTCGTTCTAGCTCTAATTACTGGCTGAGATTTACAAAAATCTTTAAGTAGATCATATAAATGATTTAAGTACCCCTCTTTTTATAAGTCTGCTCTATGTGTAAACTAGCATTTTCTGTTTTATTCCGATATATATGAGCATCTCCAAGAGCTATTCCAATTATTACTGGATATAACTCATCAAGGATAGGTAGACTTTTGACGGTTTACTTGCTATTTTATCATTTAAAACTAAGGAAGGTGAAAATGCTAATAAACTAAATGTTAACCACATTATATTACTCAATCATTTTCATGATTGTTTGGACTATATTATCATCCATGAAGAATGGACGTAAGGCGTGTAGTCTCTGAGGATCCTACTAAAGATAAATAATCTTTTTGGTTTCCTGCTGATTGTCCAATCCTTAAGATTATTACCAGTTACAATATTGCTGGTACTTAAGGCTTTAGGAGTTTCCAGCATATAGCCTAATTTTCATCATATGTTTACACATACGGGCCCCCGGGATTAAGGGTTCATAACTTCAATACCTGCTGGAGGCCATGCACAACCTAATTCTACAGTAGGACTTAAAGCTGAATGGAAGAAAGCCCAGAAGAGCGATAAGAAGAAAAATACCTCTGAAATAACGAATAGAATGAATCCTAACGTTAATCCCTGTTGTACTTTAGAAGTATGGGATCCTTGATAAGTAGCTTCTATAATAATATCTCTGAACCACAGGAACATTGAAGTAACTGTAGCAATTAAACCTAATGTTAATAATAACCCTCCATTAGCATAATTATTAAAATACATAACACCTGAAATTGTTGTAGTTAATAATGCTATTGAAGACGCTAAAGGCCAAGGAGATGGTTCCACTAAATGGAACGGATGTGATTGTATAGTTTTGTACATATTATAATTAATATAAATCCCGCAATTTTAACTTGTCCACCGTGAGAGGGCTAGCTAATATATATAAAGATGGTATAAATATCATCACTATATCGCAGTAATTTTACACTTAACTATATTGATTACAGATTTTAATTTTTACCTAGACAAACTCGCCATCGGTTAATCAAT